ACATACGTGAATTCTTTGTAAAGGTGTGGACTATCTATAAAGGAAAAAGAGATGATATGTTAAAAAAAAAAGATATTTTTTTCAAATAATGACAGTGGTAATGTTAAAAAAAAAAGATATTTTTTTCAAATAATGACAATAGTAATATTCTACCCAGTGCATGCCTAGAAGAATAGGTGAAGATGTTTTTTAATTTACGTGTACGAGATTAAATTTTAAAATGTATTTTTGAGACCTTCCTATTTTATATAAATTACTTGTTTTGGATAAATTGTATATCATAAAATAGTTTGGTTTGATTAGTTTGGTTTGGGGTTGGTATCTTTTTATTTGTTTGTTTCCCTGAAAACATTCTTTGCGCTCTGATTTTTTTTTTTTAATAACTTGTTGAGGAGCACAGGTTCCTAGAATACTGGAGAAGTTTTTGATTGACTTTCAGACAGCTGGTCCCATTGCAATGCTGTTTAAAGTGATGAAAATTATTGCAGAGACATATTCCTTTAGAAAACATTGCAGATTTTGCTCTTGGGTGTATTTTGCATGTCTGCATTTTTTGGATGCTTTGAGGGGAAAAAAAAAAAATCTTTATGAAATAGAGTGAAGGCTATACTAAGCATGTAACACTTATTTTTGGCTGACATTACCAACTTTTTGGCCAAGGTCCCCAGGTGGCTAATTAAAGCTGGGAATTTAATGAAATAGTGTGATTTTCTATAGCTATCAGAGATGAAAGCATTGGAGTTTAGACAACACACACTACTGTAAAATGAAATCTGAAAGATACATATATGCAGAAACTTAGTATTAATATTTCTTTTAAGAAGTTGGACTGAAGGAATTAAATGTCCTGTAGTTAGACCTATGAGATCTAGTTGTGTGCCACTCCAGAAGAACAAGAAGAAAACCACAAACATGGTTAAGTGAATCATTTCAGTTATTTTCATACTAGCAAGAACTAAATGCTGCTACTGTTTTGCTATTTATCTTTCTGCTGATCAAGGCTCTGGGTCTCCAGGACAACGATCTATTTCTTAAAAAGACATTTCAGTCAAAAAATTGAATAGAATGAGCAGCCAGTGCAATTGATGTAAGGTCATCTTGCTGCTTGCACAGTGAGATTTACTGGCTCCAGGTTCCTTGGGCCTTCTTCGTAAGAGAGAAAGCTACAGGGCTGTTGAAGAATTTTTTGGTCTTTTCCCTTTCCCTGCCTTGCTCAGATCTAAATATTTAACAGTCATAGATGATGGCTCTTCAGCAGCATGAGGAGTCAGAGCTGCTATGTTCTAGTGATTCCAGTGTTGGCATTTTAAGGCCACTTTCTGGAAAAATCGCTGGATGCTGAGGAAAACAGAGGTAGACCTTGCTGTGGTTTAGACACCTGGATTATAAGTCCTATGCCCAGCTGAGGTGGAAATTAATGGCTGTGGACTTGAGAAAGATTATCAAAAATTATCCCAGATCAGAAAGATTCAGGAAGAGGAACAGGAAATTATGACTTTTTTGTGATTTTTTTTACTGGGGTAGCATATCTAAGGTGAATGTATTTTCAGTTGAGAGAAATGGCTTGATCTAGGTTAAAAAAATTAATAAGCTCAACTTTAGCAGTAGTAAGGCAGCTTCTAGAGGAGTGTGTTTCTTTATACAATCTTTTTTCTCGTTTTTAGGAGTGCGAGAATGTCTTATGTACTAAAATAATGAAATTTTATTTAGACTTCTTTCTTATGCCTGGTATTCATCTCTTTATTAACTTCCAGTATTATTGTCATCATTATTGTGTACTGGATACTTCTCTGATATTGAATTATCAAATGAGTTAGAAGATGCCCATAATATCCTTCAGTTTGCAATTCTGGAACAAAAGAGAACTTGTTTCCTTTTTTAGTTGGTGGTTTAGGGTTTTTTAAGTTTTTTAAGTTTATTTTTATTTTGACTATTCAAGCTGTGCTTATATTCTAACTCTACTCTAGCTCTGTTTCGAAGACATCTTAGTTTCACTCTGAATTCTTTTTTAGTCCTAAGCTGTTAGATGTTCTGTGACAATTGCTGACTGTCTATAACCATAAGAACACAAACAAATTTAAATTTGTTATCTGCAAAAAGGGTCATTAACCCTGCTTTTTAATGTTTGGCCATAATTAAACATCTTGCAAAGAGTCGTCTACACTGCTTTTTAGTTTGCTTTTTTACTTCTTAAATGTTACGAGCTCAGAACATAATTTCTTTAAGCCAAATGTAATGTTGGCACCACTCTGGACTTGGGTGCTTCAGAACTAGTTTGTAGCCTGGCTTTCCAGTTCCATGAAGTTTTTAAAATCACCAATGCAGCACAGTATTGATAATAACTAGTTTGAGGTGATGTCTAGCTGTAATGTCTAGCTCAGTGGTTAAATAATTTAGCTCACTGAAAGATAATAGATGCCCAACTTCAAAATGAACTGTAACAGTGTGGAAGGTCGGAGAGCTGAGGGTTTCATCTTTCTGCTTTGGGGCAATTACACTATCAGAGAATAATTCTGCATATGCTTTAGTACCAGAAGATTATTAACTTGTGATGGTAACATCAATTCTACTGACCAGACCCTTGCAGCATATATTTCAGATTTTCAAGACGTATGTCTTAAGCAGTAATCTTTTATTTATTTTATTCTGTCTAATGAATTTTGTGGTCTTAGAGTTTTAAATTTAAACAGTGCAGCAGAACACATGAAACTAATTCCACATGATAAAGAGTAATGTAGACTCAACTCTGCATATCAGCATAGCTACTAGTAAAGTATGTGGATATTCTATATCCTATATGGTCATGGCATATGATATTTTGTGCTGATTGGGTACTGTTCCCAAATATTTTTCTATTTCTTATGCATATTTTTTACTTACCCTAATCTTCTATTTTATTAAAAAGCATTTTAGAAACAGAGCCACATGAAAACATACCAGAGCAAGCAAGTCAAAAATTCTACTGGATCAGGGATTGTATTTGATATTTGCTGTTTAAAAAAAAAAAAAAAAAAGAGTTAGTAGGGAATATATGCTTGCATTTATTTGCTGCACTGAACTCCCCCTGTACATTTAATGCATGCCTAAAAGAAAACTTCTCAGCTAGGCTTTTTAACTGTAGCATTTTCTTTTCATTTCCATAGGTATGTAGCCAGTTGTGGAATAAAGAGAGTCTACGACAGAGCTTTCTTTTATTTCCTTCTCTTCAAGATTTTGCATATCACAGGCACCAGATGTTTTCCTTTGCAGCTTTACCATGTTCTACTTTTCAGTGTGGCATTAGACAGAAGCTGAAATGGGAAGTTGTGTGAGGGAGGGGTGATGAAAGAAGCAGTTAGCGTTGGCATAAAATTGAACTTCTTACAGAGATTAAATATAAATGAATTTATCATTTACTCAACATGAGATTGGAAACCAATTTATATTTTAACAGCACAAAGTCATATTGCACCACCAAAATTTCTGCCAAATACCACATTTATATATAAAGTTGTGAAAGTAATTTTTTCTAGTATTCATTTTGGTTTTATGCTGGTTAAGTCTGTGTTTACAATTATGAGACAGACTCAGGAGAGAACTGTTTTTCACTTGGAATTGTACAGAGCATCTAATGTATATTTGAACTAGTTGTATGCACTTTTATTTTTTTAGGCAACTTGAAGTTACTTTTTTTTAGTTATAATAGGTGAGATTTTCTGTTATGTGCTGTACTTCTAAACTTGTATATGAAGTGCCTTCTAAGAATTTTTAATACCATGGAACATTTATTGATTACAAATTAATTGTTAATTTTTCAGTATAAATAAGTGGTGAAAAAAACACTGGTAGGACAAAGAAATCAGAGATAGAAGGAAATATAAAATGACCTAGTTTCTTTAGGATAATAAAATCTGTGCAAGAAATACATTCTGTAACTTTTTTTCCACTGCTGCTGATGTGGAAGCAATGGAGAGATTTTCAGTGATCCTTTTGGGCACTGAATAATATTCTCTTCATTTGCCAAAACAGGATTAGTGAGTAGATCTTATTAGGAATTTGCACGTGACTTAATTTTTTATAGATAAAAGGGAGCAAATTCCTCAAAGTCAAAGAAAATCAAGAAAATAATATGTAAGAATCTAAGCAGGTAGAAAGCATTACTGCAAGGATATTTTTTCATTAACTGCCAGGCACAATTTATTTACCTTCTTCCTTAAAAAGATGTATGCTCAGTATCAGAAATGCCTCTGGTAACTTATTAAATAAGATCCACAGCAAAAGATAATCAAATACCGAAACAATTTTTGAAATTTAGTACAGTATTAAAAATAGAAAACTAATGGTGGCAAAGATTGTTTCATTTTCATTAGGAATGGCTCATAAATCTGTTTGTTGATAATCTTTTGTAGAAAGAAGTCTCATTACTAAAAATGGTAGAAATGTTTTTGTCAAGTACAAAGCTATTTGTAAAGGCATACTTTATTCTTCATGGCATATTTATGACCTGACCTTCTACCCCATCACACTTTAATCCTCCAAACCACTGTATTTGTAGTAGTCCAGGTTTTAAAAAGTAGAATTTCACAACATACATTAGTCATCACCTTTACCTCCTGCTTCCTTTGAAATTAATGCTACTTAGAGGACCCCTTCAAATTGTTCCTGAATGCACTGAGTGTGTAAGGATTGTTGGATAATCTCCGTCTTACAACAATTTTTCTGGATAATCTCCCTCTTACAAGAGTTTTTCTGCATAGAGCTCAGACCATGTATGACTATTTGTGAGCAAATGATAAAAAGGGAAAAATCTTATAAGTGCAAATAATTGCATTACCACTGCACAAACTTAAAGATGTTTTGATTTGCCATCTTGAAAATCAAATGAAGTCTTATTGTTACATCTGATACTTGGAATACTTGTGTCTGTTGGAGATGTTCTGTGTCATAGTCACAAAGTTAATTTCTGTTGAAAAAGAAGTGATTGTCATTAACTCTAATGGGTATATGTGTGCAATTCTTAGACATATGAAGGATCAAAACAAGAAGGTTGCCAATCTGAAGCACAATCAGCAACTGGAGAAAAAAAAGAATGCACAGCTGTTGGAAGAAGTTCGTAGGCGAGAGGACAATATGACTGACAACTCTCAACATTTACAAGTGAGTTTATTTTTCAAATGTGTTTTAAAAGCATCAAAGATAGTACACTTCTTTTGCACTGTGTCTTCCAGGATGCATAATAAAGCTCTCCCACAAAGAGCTGATGGATCTCTCCTCTTCTACCAGAGGATGCCCTACTCATCTCAGTTGCATCCGTGAAATATTTACTATTACGGTGAGGGAAAAAAACCCAGTAGAATTTGAAGACCTCTACAGAGTTACTACCTCAGCAAATGTTTTTTCTTGCAGTTGGAAAGAAAAGGTTCTCTTGTATCTCTCCTTTATTTAAGATAAACTCTGAGCCTTGTTCTAGGACAGTTTCTACAGTTTTTAAGTTTCTGAGCTTGGGGTTTGAGATTTGCAAGACAATGAACTGATCTGGTTAAGTGCTACATCACATACTGGGGAACTTGTTTTCAAGGCCACAAGTTTGATGCTTGATTTAAAAATTATTCCCTGAGATCTGACTGTTAAAATCCACGTAGAGAAGTGCTGATTTCTGTCGACAACATCAGTGTCTCCATGCCCAGTGTTTGTAGGCAATTTACAGTGCAAAATACCAATTTTGCCTTGATCTGGTTAATATAATGTGTTTCTGGACAATTTCCAGTGGATTGAATTTGACCCTCTCATGCTTTGTATGGTTGTATTTCTATTTCTAATATGTTCCTATATGCAAAATGGAAAAATTAATGCCACATCTCTCTCCAGGCTTGTGTTGGTGGAACTTTGTCAGAATCAAGTTCAGGAAATGATACGTTTTTTATGCACCTGGGCAGTGTTACGTCTACTTTATAACCTTGGTCATTACATCCTGATTGCATCACCATGCATTTGACTGCATGTGATGTAGCAACAAAAGCTTGTGAAGTATTTGATCTGACAATATGATATAAGAGAATTAAATTTCAGTGTTGAGCAGCTACTTGTAATTACTGTAGTTCAGTAAAGGGAATATATTAAGCTTATTTTTTCAGTAATATTTTGGAAATCTCTGAGTGATGTGATGACTAGAGAATAGAAGCCATTCCCAAGAACTTTGATTTAACTGCTATACTTAGGGCTTTCTAATCTTGTGGTGAGAATGCATCTACCAAATGGAAGAAGCGTGGCTGAATGGCTTGAATTTGGAAAGAAAACTCCTTGTCTGGTGTATAGCTCTTATGTTCCGTTCACTTCCTATAAAACATTTACACACTAAGAACAGTTTATGAAAACCAGTTAACCAAGAACTGTTATTTCTTGTTACTATGCCTTAAAGTTTCAATATTTTAATACTATATCCTTCAACACATTATTTTCAAGATATGAATCTGATAAGTAGGTGGTTGACTGGTTGAAAAGCCAAACAATTGTAGAGCTCCTGTCAATTAACCTTGGTATAGAAAGGAATTTTTAAAAATATGTTTTTAAGAAAATGTTTCCTCTGTTATGGAGTTGTGTAAAGAGTAACAGGAGTGATCTAAGGATTTAAATGAGGCAGGATTTTTGGGGAGACACATGATGTGAGATATATGATGTACTTTGAAAACCAGATTTCTAGGAGTACTATGCATCTGCTGATTAAAAATAATAATAATTGCTCTTTCAATTAATGTTTAATCTTAGTAAACTGTAGGGATCTGACCCCCTTTCCTTGTTGCTGTTTATAATACCTTACTGTGTTTAGTGGAAACCCCCTATGTTTATAGGCATCTATAACACATAGTGCTTGTGTCTACAGTGTACTTGTTACATTTGTGAATGATGTATTGAGCTGTTACGGGAAAAGTATATCCTAAAATTCTCTGGCCTGATGTAATGACTGTATTTGTTGGCTGGCTGTGATAAGCTGGCTGTTGGCTGGCTGTGATAAGCTCAGCTGAGAATTGAAGAGCAGTCAGGCTGGTCAAATTACATTTACTCCAGCCAAGTCTCGATCCCTTTTGCAGAAGTACTGGAAAAGATGTAATAAGGAAGTGAGTGGGATTGTCCATGGACCATTCAGGGAGTTTACTCTGGGCAAACTGAAGTGCCATCCATTTTGTGCAGCTCAGGTAGGGGCTGAAGCTCTACCCATTCAGCTGCCCACTTGCTTTCTGATAGGTTTGAAGAAGTTCAGAAGTCTGTAGTTTCTTTGAAGCTTCAGTAGTATGTAACAGTTCCCGAGGCTTGTAGCACCAGGTATATTTGTGGAGCTTTTCACCATCTTTTCAGGTAAAAGCCATTCAAAGCTGGTTCATGTCCCAGCCTCAGTGCTTGCAGGTCAGGTTTGAGTCTCTGATGGCCCCATCTCACAGCACTCCAGGCACTGCTGTGGCGGAGAATGCCCTGGGATGCCTGGGGAGGGAATTCACTTTGGTCTCCCTCAGCTATCACCTATAATTGTGAGTGATGCTTCAGGTGTGGTTTTGGGGGGTTATTTGGATCACTGTAAAATTGGAAACATCAGGGAGCCAGACTTCACATTAATTCTTGGGAATGAAGAATAGTTGTGAGGTTTTCTGGCTTTTCCTAACACAAATCAAGGGCAGACCTGTGCGAGTCTTGCCAGACGTGATGGTCATATATTAGGTAAAGCATCACAGCAGGAGAGCTGGACCTTGAACACTTTATCATGAAATTTTTTGAGAATAGTGTATCTAACATGCCTTAATTTTTCTTTTTTTTTTCTGTCTTAAAAATGATAAGCCTTTTTGAGAAACACTGAGCTAAGAAATACACAGGTATCATGTCATAAATTTGTGTGTAATTCCTCAAGTCTCTTTGTAGGATCTTGAAATGTTAAAGGCGTGAGACTTGTTTATTTCCTGAGATGGATTTTTCTTGATTCTTGCGTGGAACATCTTTCTTCCAGTAGCACTGTTACCTCAATAGAATTGGGAAAGGAAATATTTGCATAACATGGAGAACTTAAGTGCATTTGGTTTAGAATCTGATTTTCAGACCTGCTTTAATAACAACAACAACAAAATCCTTTTGTTTCTCTGGAGTAAACAAAAGAAGGTTCACCTAATAATATTACTATATGTCTCATCACATAGCCTCAAAGGAAGTGAAATATACACTTATTATAGTTTTCATAAATGTAATTTATCAATTCAATAAGTAATCTAAGTCCAGAAACACTCCTTTGTGGAAATTTTTTGCAATGTCCAATGCATACAGGTCACAAAAAAAGTGCAGGGATGAGCCTGAAACAAAGTTAAAAAGTTTAATACCCTATTCTGCTCTAATCTATTCAGCTTGTGGGTGTTTCCACCTTTTCTTCCAGTTTATCTTCTGGCAAAGTTTTTGACTCTTCTGTTGTTTTAAATGTTTGGGTAATTTGTCACAATTCTCTTTTAAGTAGCTTGGGTTTTCTTTGGGTGGAAATCCACATGCAGAAAAGAGATATTTCACTAACAACATTGTTTTTGAGTGAGACAATGTGTAGTTCTCATTGATTTCAAACATCATCTACAGGCAACTTGATCAATGCTCTGTGCCTGCAGTACTGTGAAACAGATTGTGTACATATGTACATTTTCCAGGTGTAAATATCTCACTTTTTAAACAGAGTCTAGCTTCTCAGTCATGCTTTGTCACTGGATGTACAAGAGTTCTAGTTTTCTAATAGCTTTGTACTGGCTGGAAATTTAGTCTTAGGTAATGAATAAAACATGATCAGGAGAAAGTCCCATCAAAGGAGAGAGAAAAACTGGCTAGTTAATATTACTGCTTTCTGATTCTTGCCATGTGAATGTCTGTGATATCTTACTCACTGAAAATAGCTCCCAAGAGATTTCATAGCTAGTCAGTGTGAATCCTTAACCTCGGATTTGTTTCTTTGTGTGCTTCACCATATAATTTTCAACTCCATAATAGTTCTAGAAATACAAAACATACTGAAGACATTGCACATTACTATATGTTATTTCTGTGTCTTTTAAAATAAGATAGCATGGCCTAAACAATGGGCATACCCGACATTACTATGAATTTACTATGATTTTTCCTTTAATGCAGTGTATTTCCTACTGCATCGTTTCAAACGCTTTGAAACTATAATATCAATAAAAAGAAAAAGCTAGGGAATGAGATGAAGTCTTGCAAATAAAAATGAACAGAGCAGTTTAATCAGTTCAGAGACACAGGAAGCAGCCATGAGTGCTATGCAGACAGGCATTAGTGCATGGAGCTGACACAAGGCAGGAGAGAATTCATTACATAAACACTTTGTACCTAAAGCTTTGTATTATTAGTGCTGAAATACATATGTAGTGTCAAAACACAACCTTTTAAGAGGTTAAAAATCATGAGCTATTGTATTAAAAGGGAATTCTGGTTTAAGCATCCATCCTAAGGTGGACCTATACCTCTCTGGAAGGCTTTAATAATTCTCAGTGTTTAGGGGATTCTGTAGGTTTCGATCTTTAGAAGGCTGGTAATTTTGGGGGGGTAGATAGTGCTAAGAGAGGGATTTTGCCTATTTACACCATTCCTGCCTCATTTCCACAATGGGCATGTCTGAATTGCAAGTGGTGGTCTGGCTTTGACGTGCAGAATTGCTCCCTACCTCTTCTGGTTGTGGGCAGGGGATAAGGGGAACAAGGTGACTGCCCTTGATTTCCTGTTCTTAATATCACGAGCAATCAGAACACACAGATGAGATATGATGTAGATGGATTTTTGAAATACGTTCAGGGACAAGAGAAGGGATAAAACATGGCCTGCAATGCTTGTGAAGATCTTCCCTCTTTCTAAGATTTCTGCTATCAGATTTGAATATCTTGAAACAAAAGCTGGTTTGTTTGCAAGTCTGCATAAGAGTCAGCTGCAACAAGTCTTTTGGTCTTTGTGTAAGACGATAAAGAATTGTAAGATTTTGGAACCAGTTCAGTGACAAATTCAGAGGATGGGGTAAGCTACAGCTAGAATGAAGTTCTCCCCTTAAGGTTCCCATGAACACCTGTTTGTGGAAGATGCAGAATAGAGACTAATTATGGTTTTAGTGACTTAAAAACTTATTTTAACATAAATTTTCTACAATTAAAGCAGTAATTCACGCCAGTTTTCTCAAT